TTGGTTTCCACCTTTCTGTCATGCTGGGAGCTCACACTGAGAAGGGTCACATAGAATATTAACAAAATTAGTATAATATTAACATTAACAAAATCCTCAAGGTGGTGCAAGTTATCCATCATCAGTAATTTGCAGCCCAAGCCCACCAGCGCCCTAATGAACCCCAAGATGTTACTACTGATAGGAATCTTTAATTTAGTCAGCTGAGAGCAATCAGCAACAGCAAAACAGAAGCCCAGCACCTCTACCTTCTTTCATACACAGTGATTACATCTCCCCAATTATTCCTTTTTTCCAGAGGGCTATTGGACTACTTTATTTCCACCTGAAAATCCGCACTGCCACTCAACCCTTTATCACTACCAGCTGCTAGGCTCCAAATCCTTTCTCTCCAGTGATTCCAGTTTCACTCCCTGCAAGCAAACAGGTTGATGCCTTAAATCTCATCGCTGCAGGTCCCATCCAGACTTGGCAAAGTCCTGTTCTGGGGTGGCTGCTTTTTCTCCTCTCCAAGCAAGCCTGAAGACTTGCTGGTCTGTTTTCCACACTCCTGCATGAATCCTTCATTACACTGAAGTTCGACAGCTGACCCTAACTCCCCTTGCAGGCCTCCCTCCATGCACAAGATACCTTTTCTTCAGTCTCCTGCCATGCTCAGTTGCCCAACAACATTGCTGGGTCTTTCCAGGCCCTCTTCAGGCTCAACACTGCCTCACTCAAAGGTGGCATCTGCTGGAACACAGTTTCATGGTCATCAATCCAATAGGTCAAATTGTTCTAGCCCCGTAGCTCCCAAACCATTGCCCAGTGTTGCAGAACTGAGGGTGAATCTATGGAAAACCCCTCCCTGTTTTCCCTCGTTTTTAATTATCAGCACCTTTTGTTTCTGTGTGCTTGGGAGCTAGCACTTGAAAGGTAATTTCCCCCATCTGTGCTTTCCTTATTCCAGCTGTCTCCTGTGGCACACATCCCATCTCCACCAAGGACAACCACATCCATGCTCCCCCAACAGGTTCTTATCCAACCAGTGGGAATGTAGCAGTTACTCACATGAAGGAGTAATTCAAGTGCAGATTTTTGTTGCTCAGGGTAATGTAATAACTGGAAGTGAGTCAACACCTTGAGATCAGCCCCTTGTACAGTGACCACTCGCAGAGGTCTCCAGCAACCGCAGTTTGCTAACCTTGGTTCTCAGACACTTACTCACTTTTCTGGGGGCATTACACAGTTTTGCCTGAAAGCAGGTGGGATCTATCCTGCCTCGTGCCAGCAGCTTCACTCGCTAAGTCACGTCACACACCACAGATAAAAGGAGCAGGGCTGCAAGTTTCTGCCACCCTTTCCAACCTTCACAAGCAGCAAGGTTAGGGAAACTCCTACCCAGCCCAAGCTATCAATGGAACCCATGCAGCTCCACCAAGGGCATCACTCCACTCGTTAATACACATAGTGGCCTTCTCCTATGGGGCACAGGTGAGCTGCACGAACGAGGTACTGCTGCACACCCAGATCCTCCCCTTGACTCCCCAGGCAAGTCCCACCACCCTGGTGCTGACAGACCCCCGGTGACTGGGGATTGAGTCAGTGTGTCCACACTACAGCCCCGCTGCAGGCACAAGCTGCACTGGCTTATTGGAGCTCACCCATTTGAGCTGCGCCCTGCCTGCCTCACTAACAAGGGGCTTTTAATTGAGCTCTTAATGGGCCCTCGCTAGACAGGCACCACTTTCACTAAGTGAAATGCAAGGAGGAGAGGAAAGACAACAGGAGGGCACAAGCAGAGCAGATCCATATCCAGGATGCCACTGCAGCAACCTGGCTCCCACCACCACAGAGCATCCCAGCTAGCCGGGTCCTGGAGCACAAAACACATCTCAGAGTTTACTATGAGTTTAGAAACAGCCCCTGACCCCACACGGCAGCCTCCGAAGCAGCGCAGGGAGGCTGCCGAGGCCTTTCGGCAACGGCACGATGCCCCCCAGAGGAAGACGCTGCTGAACTTCATCCCGCGGCCTCAGCGGAGAGGAGAGAGCAGGGAGAGAACAAGCTCTGGCCTCGCGCATCCATCCCCCGAGCCCCTGGAGGGCCCCGACGGGCAGCCGCGCTGCTCGAGGCTCTGCTCCCTGCGCCCCTCCGCAGGCTCCGCGGCTGCTCCCGGCCGCTTTCCGCACGCCGGGCTCGCGCCCCACGCTGCAAGCCCTCCTTGTCCGCTCCTCCTTTCGCTCCTGGGAATGCCGCGTTCAGCCTCGCTCCGCCGGGAAAAGCCGCCTGCAGAGCGGGGCCTTCGGGAGGCTGCGGGCCGGGAGGCAGGGCCAGGCATCAGCAGGGATGAGCGGGCAGGAACGGCCGGGAAGAGCGAGCCCGCACCCCGACCCTGCTGCCCGCGGGCACGGGGCGGCGGCGGCAGCGGCCACGCGGCGCCGGGCGAACGAACCGCTCCCCGTGCCGGTTCCGATACCGGTTCTGGTCCCGGTCCGTCGCTCTTACCGCTCGCAGGCTGCGGCCGCTCCATGGCCGCGGCGGACGCGGCTCCCGGGGAGGGGAGGGCGGCTCCGCCCGGCGCCAGGCGCGGCCCGTCCCGTCACATGGCCCAAGTAGCGCCCGGCCCGGCCCGGCCCCGGGGACCGCCCCGAGGGCCGCCCCCAGAGCCGCCCCGCTCCGCCCCGAGGGCCGCCCCGCTCCGCCCCGGGGGCCGTCCCGCTCCGGGGGCCGCTCCGCCCCGGGCCGCCCCGCTCCGGGCCGCTCCGTCCCGCTCCGTCCNCCGGGCCGCTCCGTCCCGCTCCGTCCCGTCGCTCGGCGCCCCGCGGGGCGGCCCCGGGGGCAGCGCGGCTCGGTGCTCAGCGCGGGCGAGGGGAGCGCCCGGCAGCGGCTCTCGGCGCCGGGGAGGCCGATGGGGACGTTTCCTCTTGCTTGGCCACCTTCGCCATGCCCAGGGCAGCGCAGAGGATCCCGAGGGAACGCCGGGCCCTGGCTTGGGGACACCTGGAGAGCAGGTTCCCCCGGGCAGTCCCACCACGGTCCTGCAGCTGCACAGGACGTGTCAGCTCCGGGGCCGGGAAGGATGGGCTGAGCTCTGGGGAGCATCTGAGCTTCATCTTCTAACATGTCTAAGGGTGAGCTTAATAAAGCTGCTCATTAACACGCAGGCTGGTATCCTGCAGGAATGGCAGAGCAAACTCCAGCTCTGCCCACCCGCTTCGAGGGACCTCTGGCAGCTGCGAGGTCGGAGCGTGGCTCTGTGCTCCATTTGGGGCTTATTGAAGTACCTTCAGAAACAGAACGTGGCACGTTGTGCGCTCGCTTATCTTGCCCAGAGCACATCACGTCCCTTCGAAGTAAAGCAGCGGCCTTGTTTGCAAGCTGGGAGATGATGTGACTTGTCCAAGGTCACGCGGAGGGATGTCTGGCAGCATGGAGATGGGAAACGGGCTTCCGGGGGCTGCGGCTGGCCCTGGAACAGCCGCCAGCCCAGCTCGGTCTGGCGTGATGGGCATAAGGGCAGCAAAGTAGCTCCTTCCATGGTCAGCACTCCCTGGATCCTTCTCTTGCCCATACTGAGGCTCCCACGTTACATTTCAGGGCTAGAGCAGCTCTACAAATACGCCGTGGTTGCCAGGATCTCTTACTGATCCCCTGTAGATGAAAGCTAGAAGCTTTGCCCCCATCACCTGCGTCCTCTACACAGAGTCAGTGCAAGGAACAGCCCCGTAGTGCCAACGTCCCGCAAATCCTGCGGGACACACACGAGGGAGGAGAGGCTTCACCAAGGGCCTTTTGTTGGAAACCCATCTCCTCCCACGGAGGAGTGGGATGTGACAGCCCTCATTATCAGCCTTATTGGTGGTCCCTGCTCTTGTAGAAATCCCATTTTTAACAGGGAGAAGGGTGAAATAGCAGGGCCGGCGGGTGATGGCAGTGGAAAGGTGGGAGGAAACCAGACGGGACAAGTTCTGTAGCTGAAGTGCTCAGCACTGTGGTGGCTTCTGGCCGGATGAAGTCCCAGCTCCCGCAGAATCTTGTCTCATTTTATTTCCTTTGTATTTGACTCCCCAGCTTCCTTAAGAAGCACAAACTACTAATGTCAAAAGGGGAGAGGGGAATGGGGGAGGCCTCCTTTGCTGTGCTCAGCCCCCGGTATCTCGCCTTCCTTGGGGTATCTGGCAGGAGCTCAGCACCCTCCTCCTGGTCAATGGGGCCTTTTTGAAAGCCTGAGGTTAAACCTCTGGATCCTTCTTAAAACCACAGACTTCCCAGCAGGAACAGGCGCTCCTTGTGCTTTTTGCCGGAATTGTCACCCTGTTGGCAGCAGGCTGGCAGACCGTATCGGGAAAGGGGACCTCAGCGCTCTGCATTTTGGTGGTCAGGATAAAGAGGGGCAGGCTGCAAACCCGCAGCTGTATCCGTGCTCATCAGTTCCCGCTTCTCTTTGGCTCCAGGGACAGCAGCAGGCGGGTGCCGGAGGCCAGGCCGTGCTCTGCATCCTCCGGAATGGATGGAGCCACTGGCTCCGGCAGCACGAGGAGGCAGCACCCTCTGCTGCCGGCTCACCGGCTCCCATCCCTCCTCGCTGCTCCGCAGGGAAACTCGGGAAAAGCATCCCCAGGAATGGCTCCCTGTGAGTCAGAGCATGGCAGGGCACCCTCTGCACCCGCGGAGCTGCTGCTCCCGCGTGCAAGAAAGAAAAACAGGGCCTGGAAGTGCCAGGAACAGGCTGGGACCTGCAGGATGGGACCTGCGGGCAGCCGGTGCCCACGCACAGGTCTGCTCCGGGCAGCGGCCGCGCCGAACGTCACCCACGCGGACGCAGATTGCTCTGCGGATAAGGAGATGGGAAAACACGGGGGCCTTGCCCAGGGCTCCTGGATTGTCTCCTAGTACAACCACAACGTTAAAATTTAAAACACTAACAGGTCTTAAGTTAAAAAACATAGTAAAGCAACAATCTTTGGGAAAAAAATAGGAGATTGTTAGAAAAATATTTATTTTTTTTTATAAATACACTTCCGAATTCATCCCGAAACATGAAAGGAATCACACAAGTTTACTTATGGGAAAACGAGATCTTACAGCTTGATTTATAAAAGTTAGTGAGAAATAAATGACGTCCAGTGTTTGATTTCTGTAAAATATATAAATAATCATACAGCTGATTTATAGGAACGCAATGAAGAATATGTTTGTCCTTTAAAAGTATTAGAATTGATGCCAGTAATTGCTTACAGGAGAAACCGAGCGTGTGACGTTATTCCAAGGACTCGCTTTTGCAAAGAAGGGTTAATACACAAGCTCTTAGCAAGGTGCTTTCACCTTCTATTAATAGCTTCAACAAAATAAAAATAGCCCTGTTTCCTTGGCCAAAAGCCTGGTGGATTTCTACCATCCTTCTTCATCAGATTTGCTGGAGTTTCACCCTTCTCCCCCTCCGCAATCTATCTTTTCTGAGTCAAACATTTTATACATTTCAAAATATTTTTCATTTGGCAAATGCTAAGTGTTGAAGAGCTTAAAAGGAATGTCTGTGGAAAAAAAAAACCCCATACAGTTCTAAAAACAAAGCCCAGACAGATATGTTCGCTAGAGGAAATACATGTATAAGTTCTTGCTGAAATTTTATAAAATTTAGGACAAATTTGGGAGTGACCCCCTGAAGCTGAAAAACAGCAGCTGGCAGAAGAAAACTACCATGTTTGTTTAAAAATACAATTCAACCTCTCCACAATCACTGGTTACTTCAAAAGATGCCAGCCAAATATTAAAAAGTCAGTGTACAAAAAATAAGAAAATTCCAGTGCCACAGTCATCTGTAAAATGGAAATACACTTTGTCAATCATTACAGTACGTTTATTTTCATGTAGGTTCATTTTTCATTAAAATTTGTTCCCTCGCACCAATTATAGCAGAAGTGGAATATAGTCGGTATGGGACAATTTTGTTTAAAGGAGGACAATGTCTGGATTTATGGCCATACTGGACCTAACCCGTGTTCCTCCGCACGGCTTTTCCAGCCGTTGCGGTGCATTTTGGAGCCGGCGTTTGCCGGCTCGTGGCTCCGAGCAGGAGGGCTATTCCAGAGGGCTGCTTCCAGCTACCTCCTCAGGCAGACGCCGCTATTCCCGGTGCGATATTCCATGGGATTCCCGAGAGGCAAGCATGGCTCTTCAGTGCTTCCCTTTGGAGGTGACAAGTTGGGGACAGACTTTGAGGCCTGTGAGGAGTCCCCGGGCGCCGCGGCCGAGCCCGGAGGCTCCGGCATTCCCACATATCCATGTGCAGGATACCCTTGGAGCTGCTGCCATCTCGCGGGCCCTCCATCCTCGTGCCACCCCGGGCCACCCACATCCCCCGGGCCGTGGGGACGTGACTCGGGAGCAGGGAAAAAGGGCAGAGATGGCTGTGGAGAGGCCCCCTCTCCGAGGCAGAACCCCCTTGGCCCAGCACCACGTCCACGCTGCAGTCTCCTCTTTGGCACCGTCTCCGTGTCCTTACCGAACACGGCACTCCGGCATGCCGTGCTAACTCCCTACCGGAGAAGGTCACAGAGTGTTTGGGAATGCCACCAAAGCAGAGACACCCGACGTGCGAGCGGGAAACGGAGCTGAGCAGGGGGAGCGGGGTCGGGATGTCTCCACTCGCTATAAAGCCGCCTCCCGCACAAATGTCATCGGCCAGAACATGACACTGCAAGGCTCAGCTCCGAGGAGAGAAAAAGTGGCTCAGAGGAGGAGACAGGAGGACAGCTAAGGAAAGCACCGTGCCTGAGAGCTAAACCAAACGCTCCTCCTAACTCCAAGCTTTTTGCTTGAGAATTACTGTGCCGAGGCACACGGCAGATCCGCGAGCTGCCGCACTGCTCGTCCCGTGGCTGTTCCTCTAAAAGCCTGGGAAGCAAAGAGGATTCCCTCTGCATCCCCCGTGCCCCAGCTCAGGGAAAGGCGGCACCACGGTGGGTCGCACAGACGAGTGCGGAGCCTGGGCTGCAGAACTCGGGTTTTACTGGGGAGCAGCTCGGCCCCGGGCAGCTCGAGCAGCGCACAGGACGGACAGTGATATTACTGCTTTCTACCCTGAGAATCTGAGGGGAAAAAAAAGAAAGAATTGGCAGGTGCTGGATATAACAGCTCTGCCATGGCGCCTGAGAGGTAGGTCAGTGTTAGAAGCACAAAGTCCTGATGGGGAAACTGAGGCATTCCACGGTGAGGTAAGTTGTCCAAAGTCATAGTCAGAGCCAATGGCAGAGGCAGAAATGCCACACTGAGCTTTTGGCTGCTGTGCGGCTCCGAACGCTGAGCCAGGCTCCGGTCTGGGCTCAAACGGCAGCAGCACCGCACGCCCCAGGTCTCCTGGGTTGGAAGAGTTTGCCTGGGACAGGGCTGCTGCTGGAAACAGGGATGCTGGGCTGGGAAAGCCAGGTTCCGAGAGCCAGGCAGGCAAGGGAGGACGCACCAGGGAGCCCTCAGCCAAGCAGGGCTTCGTAATCCACGTACCAGACGAGGCGGCCAGAGCTGGGGCTGACCCCCGAGATGGGCCATTTCCTCGGCTCGTGGCCCACTCTGCTGATGAGGCTGGTGATGTTGTGCTTGCCCTTGCCCAGCACCAGCACAAACACCTTCCTGGCCCTGTTGATGAGGGGCAGGCTGAGGCTCATTCTCTGGTGAGGTTTGACAGGGCTCTCGGTCAGCACCACGGTCTGCGCCCCTTCCAGGCCGTTTTCAGAGTGGGGGAAGAGCGAGGCCGTGTGCCCATCAGCACCCATCCCCAGCAGCACCAGGTCAAAGCTGGCGTTGGCCACCAGCGCCGCGATCTCCTTGGCATACAGCTCCGTGCCCCTGTCCTCCTCCACGCAGAGCCGCTGGTTCAGGTGCACGGGCATGGGGTGGATGTTGAAGTAGGGCACCCTGACGCTCTGCAGGAGGTGGTCGTGCAAGCTGAAGAAGTTGGACTCGGGGTCAGCGAGCGGGACGCAGCGCTCGTCCACCAGCCAGATGTGGGTGTATCTCCACGGGAAGGCGTAATGGTGCCTCGCCAGCTGCTGGAACAGGACCACGGGGCTCGAGCCTCCCGAGAGCGCCAGGTGGAAGTGCCCAGCGCGCGCCACGGCGCTGCTGGCCGCCCTCTCCATGTCAGAAGCCAGCTGGGAAACCAGCTCCTCGGCCCACGCCGAGACCAGCGGGCTCTGCCGGTACTTGGCCTGGATCGTTTTGTAATCGCTCGGCGTTGGCGCCTTGGGCTGCAGAAGCTCTATGGGTTCCGCCAGTGCAAACGCCAGCTCCCCGCCAACCATTTCGAAGTCTAAGAGGTGCTGGTTCTCCACACCCCCGGGGTAGAGACGCGGCGACTGGTGGGAGATGCTGTCCAGCAGCGGGGTCCAGAACTCCCAGGACGCCAGCAGGTTCTCGGTGGTGATGAAGAAGTCCTTCCTGCCATGGTAGATGCTGGAGATAAGGACGGAATACGCATCCCTCTCTCTCATGGGGCTGTACACATAGTAATCAGAGAGCGGTTGTCCAAAAACATGCAGCTCTGGCTGAAATGCTGCTTCTTTCCAGCTGCTTGCTGGCATGACGGGCTTGAAGAGGTTCCGGCTCACGAGCACGGCGGGAGTGTTGAGCGCGCCGTGCCCGATGTAGAAGATGATCTGCTTGGCTTTGCACTGGCTAGAGCCCGCGTCCCGCAGGGTCCCGCTCTGCGGGCAGTAGGCCCGGTTCTTGAAGAGGACCCGCACATAACCTACCCGCTCGTCCAGGGCCTTCCCAGAGGTGAGCAGGAAAGGGACCCCTTCCCAGCGCAGGCTGTCGCTGTGGATCAGCACACCTGCAACGACACAGTGACCTCAGCTACGGAGTAAAACCTGGAGCTTCAGCAGCCTGCAGATACGACAGGATCGAAACGGGCTGCTTAGCTTCCTCCTTCGCGTGGAAATCCTGGCATTCCCAGCATCTCTTGCTCCACATTTAGCCCTTTCGTGACCCTGCTAGACTAACTGCTCTGCATCCCCTCAGGTTCCCTGCTCTACGAACCTCCTTTGCACGAAACCAGCTTCTGAGCATGAACATCATTCAGCCCAAACCTCTGAGGTTCCGAAAATACAGCATGGCCAGTGGTGACCATGTACTCTGTCACCCCCAGAGAGCTCCCAACACTTGACCCTTCAGGTGCAGTGAGCAACCAGCCTTTATGAAAGGGCGAGGGAGTTTGCAGGCCAATCCTAAAAATAACACACCAGTCTTAGCAAGGATAATGCCACTTAGCCTTTGTGCAGTGCTTCCAGTTGGCATGATCATTAGCTAATGACCACGACACCATTACGGCACTCCAGCTCCCCAGTATGACGCCGCTGCATGCCTGGAGACATCCCCACGTCAGCAGCGCGGTCCAGAGCCCCAGCACCAGCGCTCCCACCTCCCGCAGCCCCCGGCTCCAGAGCGCCCCGCTCCGCACGGCCTCTCCCACCTGCAAAGGTCGGCGTGGTGCTCACGTAGCCCTGCGCCCGCTGCAGCTCCTCGCGCACCTGCCCGCCGTAGGCCGCGTACTGCCCCAGCACGGCGCTGCCCTTGCCCAGGCCGCGCAGGGACTGGAAGCCCTGCAGCTTGCGCTGCAGCACCTCCCCGGCGCTGCTCACGTTGCCCGGCAGCTCCATGGTCAGGAACAGGAGCGCCTCGGTGAGGTGGTTCTGCAGCACGTCCCGGATGACTCCGTACTGCTCGTAGAAGCTGGTGCGGCCTGAGGATGAGGAGGGGAGATGCTGATAACGGGGAGCCCTTTTCTTTGCTCTGCACGTATAATGTTCGTGCCAAGCAGAGCAAACACAAGACCAGAGCAGTTTGCCTCTCCTCCTCCCCTGGCTCAAAATTAGAGCCTAACAAACCTTTCCGCTCCTTGCAGACAGGGTTCCCAAGTGTCTCTGCTACTAAAACAAAGATAAAACTTCCCCAAGGAACTACCTGTCCTCCACAGAGCAAGATATATCCCTCCTGCTTGGAGTTAAAGCAGAATTTCTTGCAAAAAAAGTCCCGCTTCTCTCTCCCTGCCTGACTTCTCACTGGTGTGGGATGATGGGGAGAAGGACGGTGTATTTATAAGGAAAGTGACTCAGACGCCTTTCCTCAGTCCACCAGCAGCAGGCTGCACACTGCAGACTACATCACGACCAAAGGCTTCCCCTATTGATTGATACATTTATCTCTCTTGCTCTAATCCAAAGGCACATTCACTAATGTAATCAATGCTGCAGGGAGCCAAGCTGCCAGCTGAAGCTGCACAAGAGAAAAAAAAGAAAAGATATCAAGTGAAAAATTACAGTTTTTCAGAAGGAAGGGGTGCGCAGCAGGGGCTACACAGAGACTGCATGTTCCCCCTAAACCTCCTTGCAGGGCTCTTTTCCCCCAGGAATGGGCCTGGTTGCCAAGCCAAGGATCACTCAGAGCTTAATCAAGCTGCTGTAATTAATATTTGTGTTTTTGTGGGGCTTTTTTTTAGGGGGGGGGGGGGAAGGTAGAAGAGAGGTAAAGGGAGTGGAGAAGCAATCCTGATGGTGCAGAAGTGAGGGCGCCCGGCAGCGCAAGAACTGCTGTGGGTGGCGGTCCCGCTTTCTGCTGAGCCCTGCAGAGCAGCTGCTGCAGCACTGCAGCATTGCAGGGAGGGATTGCAGCATTGCAGGGAGGGATTGCAGCCGTGCCCTTCAGCAGCAGAGCCGGGCGAGCCGCGCTGCGCTTGCCTGCTTCCCTCTGCAAGGCTCCCAGCACAGCGAGAGAGCGAAACACGGACACGGACGCTCGGGTTGAGCTGGGCACCGGGACTCACGCCCTAACCAGCCAACCCAAGCAGCACGCAAGCAGAAGATGAACGAGCATCTACCAAAGGACAGCGCAAGTGAACACTCAGTGCAAGCTTTGTAGCTAACAGGGCAGCAGTATAAAAGCCACAGAGCTGTAACAACTGCCAGGCTATTGCAGCACTGAACCCAGGTGGCTTAGATGGCATCAAGTGCAATAGGGAGCTCCCTCTGCATTTCATCATTCACCTGCTCCTTTCTGTTTCTGCACCAACACCTCCTCAAGAACCGTTTTCAGGTGGTTAATGTACCAGCCAGTTCTCCTCAGCCACTCGGCTGCCTCACTAACCTTTAGCATCCACAGTCTCTTTCAGAACAATCTCCACTCTTTCCACGTGATGCCGGTTCCAAATTGGATCTAGAAACTGTCGGTTCTGGTCTCGAAAGGGCAGGATATGGGCTATGGCCTGTGAAGGGAAAAAAATCAAAGTTTCCACAGAAAGTCACAGGATTCCTACAGTATCTCTACAGTATCTCTGCCTCATCGCTCCCTCCAACACTGTCCAGCTCTGGGTGCTGCACAGTGGAGAGCAGAGCAGGTGAAGGGAGAGAAAACCAGTAAGAGAGCACAGTGGGGTCCCCAATGCTCATGCAGAACAGACATTAAGGTCTTGCTGAAGCATTTGGAGGTTTCACCTGCAAAAGGCTGAAATGCAAAGCGCAAGACACTCAGTTTATGTCCATCAGCGAACAAAGGGCTGAGTCAGACTGTGCTGGGATGAATGTACAGCACCAAAGCACTGAAACACACCAGTCCATCAGATTTTATATCACTAAAGACATCTGCTCTTTCTGGGAAAAACGAAAAATCCATATATCTCCTTGTCTCCTTGTAGCTAGACATGCGCCTTTCTGAGCAAAACCTGGCCCTGATGCCATGGCTGGAACGGGCTGCTTTCAAAATGTGATGTCACATTCACCCCAAACAAGGGTGGCACGTCCTTGCGCACGTTCCCTCTGGGACACTGCAGATGCACGTCCTAAGCTGTCCACGCAGCAGCCAGTCCTCCATGTTCTGAGCAGAGCCCATGGCAGGAGAAAGCCTTCTCCTAAGGATCCTGTAAAGATAAAATCCAGCCAGCTCCGTCTCATACCAAAATTAAAAGCTGCTTCTAGAAGCCAGTGCTAATAGAGACGGAACGAGATGGGAGGACTGCAATAGGGAAAAGGGTTGCTTATTCGGCGAAACCAAAGCCCTGACCTTGGTGGAAAGATCAGCTGGACTGTGCATGTCTCCCTCGTGCACGCACCCCTACACCCGGGCTTCGCTCCAGGGACGGGATCTTCACCACGCTATAGGGAGAAGGTCCTGGCATGGTCTGCGTATTTCCTCCCCTCTGTAAGGGGACAGGGAGCAGCAGTGCAGGGCAAGAACAGTCGCCCGTCACCACCAGGTTGTGCAGCCTCCGCTGGGACGAATGGTCCGGATATGTCGACAGCACAAGGAGCTCTGGGAGCAGCTCTGCACGGATTCAGGATGGGGTACGGGCTCTCTCAGAGGAGCCGAGAGGTTACAAACAGCTGAGCAAACGGCAGGGGATACAGAGCTGCTTAAAGAGGAACTCGCTCAGCCTGCATTCCTACAGCGGGGCAGGAACCACGCTCGTGTGCAGGCTGGGGAAACAGCAGGGAGCACCGCCGCTCCCAAACCAGGGTGATCTAACCTCATTCCCATCCCTGGGCCAAGCTTATTTACCGTTTTAAGAAAACTCTCTCTGACTGCCAGCACTTTTATATAGGAAAGAGCCAGCTGAGCAGCTGCAGGCAACATATGTGGGGGTCCGAGCCCCTCATTAGATGCCAAGCTGATGCCCAGTGCTCCTGCAGCCGCGCGCCGCTCACCTGCTTGCCAAGGTAGTGGTCCACGCGGTACATCTCCTCTTCCCTGAAGAAGCCGGCCAGCTCGGCGGCCAGCTCGCGGGCTGACTCCAGGTCGTGGCCAAAGGGTTTCTCCAGCACCACGCGCAGCCAGGCTCCCGGCGGCGGCCTGCAGCTGCTGTTAATGTGGCGGGCAATGTCCGTGTAGGCAAACGGGGGCACCGAGAAGTAGAAAATCCTCCCGGCCTCCTTGAGCCCCTCCTGGCGAAGCAGCATCTCGATCTCCGTGTTGAGCGCGGTGTAGTTTTCAGCGGTGTTCAGCTGGTGGTATTGGCTCAGCCGCAGGAACTGGTCCTTGAGCACGGCGCACCGGTCGGGCGGCTCGTCCGGGGGGCACGACAGCTTCTTGAGCACGTCGAACATGAGCCGCTGCCCCCGCTCCGGGGCCGTCAGCGCCGCCCCGTGGAACGTGAAGCTGTGGCCGCCGCTCGCGTGGTCCAGGTAGAGCTGGAACAGACCCTGCCACAGGTATTTCCTGGCCAAATCCCCCGTGGCTCCCAGCAGGATCACGGAGACGTGGCCTTGGGACGTGGCAGCTGGGGACGGCAGGGCTCCCAGGAACAGCACCGCACACACGGCCGTCCTCAGCATCTCGCACGGAGGAGCCAGGCCCGGGAACGCTAGAGGAGAGAATTAAAATCTATCGATCCATGTTATAACACCACAAAACAAGCTATCTGTTCTCCTACGGCAGCATTTCCTACCTAGATGCTTTTCCCAGCAGTCTCTCCTCCCTGCTAGGATTTGAACAGCAGCAGGATGGAACACAGGCAGTTCCATCTCCAGGTGAGGAGGAACTTCTTCACTGTTAGGGTGACAGAGCAGCGGAACAGGCTGCCCAGGGAGGCTGTGGAGTCTCCTTCTACGGAGGTCTTCAAAACCCGCCTGGATGCCACCCTGTGCCACATGCTCTAGGTGTGCCTGCTTGAGCGGGAAGGTTGGACTAGGTGATCTCTAGAGGTCCCTTCCAACCTGGAATATTCTGTCATTCTGTGAATTGGGGCTATTGGAAGGACTGCAGCCTCCTTGTGCAACCTGAGGGGTGGAGGACAACACGTGTCTCCACGAGCTGGGTTCACGAGGGGGCGTCAATGCCCCTCGACTGCGAAACTAAAATCTGTTTTAATATGAATTTCGGAGCTGGCTACAAATGAGCACACGTGCCTCCAAATTCAATAACCTCCCGTTTGGGACTTTGCTCTGTGCTATCTTGGTGTTGCTTCATGTCAATATTGTCACAACAGCTCAAAGCCAAGCACTGGTGGCTCCAGTTTGCAGGCTTTTCTCTATCAGGCCGCACATTAATGATTCCCGAGCACCTCCACTCCCAAGAACGCAGCGGAATTAGGCTCTGACAAGCTACTGGGAGCCAAATGGTCTGATAAAACACCATGAGGAAGAGGGCTTGACTCCTCAGAACCAAGTCCCTGTGGTTAGGAGACAGTGCTGAATCTGTGCTCTGCTTGCTGCAACTTTCCATCACCAAAGCGTGGATATCAGCAGCGGTTCTGGCCTTCGCCGTGCAGCATCTCCTGCAGCCCCACCAAAAGCCTCCTATTTCCTCTTTCATATTCTTGTTTCTCTAAGCTAAAGGGAAGCTGCTTTTAAGAGAAATGACACACTTAGCTCTTACACACAGCAATGACTTTAGACCCCAAGAGAGAGCATCCAGAACAAGAAGGGAATAAATAATTTGTTACTGTTCTCAATACAACGAGGATTGCTTCAGAAGCTCATAGATCAGATAGCTCATTCTCTTCATTTTGTTTTCTGGAGTTGCGTTTAGCTGCAGCATAGCTGTCAGTATGTTTGAAATAATTAACATTAAAAACACTTTGTTCTGTGATAGATTTAAACTTCTAACTTCACCTGTGTGGGGAAATATCCCCATAGACCATGGGTGCAAGGAGGAAAGATGTTTTACCAATGATTTTTGGATAGCAAAAGGCAAAGTCAGTATATTGCTTCTTCATGGAGGTGCAACTCTAGCCTCACCAGGCTTTGCACCAGCTTAATTACACCATGGTAATGAGGAAGTTTCACCACGGTTTGATTGAGAAATGGATGTTGGTGAGCAAAGTGCCCCTCGGTGGGCAGACCCAAGATAAAAAGGGCTCTCCGTGGGCTCAGAGGTTCACATTGGGTAGAAAAGGTGTCCCCGGTTCCCTTGCCGCTCGTGGTCTCATGGAACGCCGTGTTTCCCTCGGCACTCACCTGAGCAATGCAGCAGCTCTGCGGACGCGGCAAAGGCTCCGGCAGAGGCGGTGTCCTCACAGCCCCGTCCTCACCCGCCACAAACGACCATCCGGCCACGTCCCCGATCCACAGCCAGGCAAACACGCGGCTGCAAATGAGATAAGGCGGCTCGGCCCCGGGCTGGGAAATGGGAGGAAACAGCAGAGCTGAAACCTCCCATTCCCAGCAAAGCCGGGCGCTCCCGTGCCAGCCCCGGCCGAGCACGTCCCAGCTCCCAGCCCGCTCGTGCACCCGGGGCAAAGCCTTTTGCTGCTGGGAACAGGGAAGAGCAGTCCTTTTTCACTCCTGAAAGGCAGGTGAGCAGTATTAAAATCCCAGCTTCCAGGAAATGGGGGACACACGCAGGGAGTCCCTCTCCCAAAGCACCTTGCTTTGCTCAAGGCCATCCTGGAGGTCTGCAAGGGAGGCCGTGGTTTGGTTTCCTTCCCCCACTGCGGGCTTTCTATAGCTGCATTATATTTAATGCAGGTGACAATAAATAATAAACTAATATTTACATTTGTGTAAGCAACCTTTCCTCCAGGAAGCCGGAGGGGTTCCTGGGTGGCTGCAGCTCCTGCCACGTCGTGCGGAGCACTCCGGTAGGGAAGATGGGTGGGTCAATGTTTTCCCATTTACCCAGGGAAGGGAACGAATTAGCCAAGAAAATTCCTGGCAGATTCAGCTACACAGTCACACGTATTTACAGGGCAACTGAAAACTAGTTTCACAACACCCCCAATTGCAAAATACCGTGCTACGCTGCCTGGAATCAGCACAGTGAATTCTGTTTGCTAACAATATATACTGCATATATACTGCAGATAATCAGTGGTATTCGCATTAAAACCCAAGAATCTTTAAAAATCCTCCAAGCTGAGAGTAAAACGACTCCAAAGACACCAACACGGTGGCAATGGCCTTGCTCATCCTCCTCCCGTGATCCCTGAGCATGGAAGAGGTGGGATGTGAGGGACCCTCCGGGCCAGGGACAGAGGTATCAGCGTCAGCATGAGCTGAACAACAAGTGTGCAGGTGCCAGCGTGCAAGAGTCAGCAAGAGGCCAGGCTATAAATACAGAGCAGGGCGCTGGGGAGGCATTCGGACCCTGGGAGGACGCGTTGCACGTGGGAGGCGGGTGGCGCTGGGGTGGGTTTGCAGAGCACGAACACGGGGCTCTAGGGAAACGAGCTGGGCAAGGCTCTGGACAGCACTGCAAGGCAAGGCTGGCAAAGCACCGCAAAACAAGGCACGGCACGGGCAAGCAATGCAAAAAAAAAGAAAAAAAGAAATAAAAATAGGCCAGTAAAGCAAGGCACCGTAAAGCAATGCAAAGCACCATAAAGCAATGCAAGGCACCATAAAGCAATGCAAAGCAAAGTGCTGTAGAGCAATGCAAAGCACGGCACCATACAGCAATGCAAAGCAAGGCAAGGCCATGCAACCGCAGCGCTGGCGCAGGCCGCCTCTTCCGGGCTGCGACGTGCAGCAGGTCCGAGGCAAGGCCGAGCAGGCCCGGGCCGGGCCGAAGCGGGCCCAAGAGAACCGGGCTGGACCGGGCCGGGCCGCCGCCCCCACTCACCTCCCTCCCACCGGCACCGCGAGCGGGCGGCGGCGGCGCGGGCGGGCCCGGCACGGCGCAGCGCAGCGCGGAGCCCCGCCCGCCTCGGAGCCCCGCCCGCCACCGAGGTCTCTGCGGTTGGCGTCCACAAGAGCCGTGTATTGGCGAGCGGGCGGGCGCTGTTCCCCGGTCTGGAGCTCCCTGCTGCTCGCGGCTCCCACCTGCGCCTCTTCCAGCAGCGTGGAAAATTAATAGGAATATTTTAACAGCCCTTTATCAACAGCTGGAGTTCGCAGGCACTGCTCTGACTTCAAAAGTGCTGCAGTTTTGCACGCTGTGACTTGCATGGCAGCAGCAAAGCTGTGCACAGATTCCCCAGGAGCATCCTGCACTACACTGTATAGCACCTCCTTATATATGTTCCCGAGATCCTCCCATTGCAGAGCGCCTCTGGGCTGGGCAGAGCCCAAGCACCGCACACAGCAGCCCCACATCCCACAAGCACAACTTGGGGGGTGAAAATTAGCAAATTAAACTTGGTGAGGGGGTAAATAACCCATTTGCAAGAGCCAGCTGGACAAAATAACCCAGCTGCAGAGACCTCCCTGTGCAACTCTGCGCCATTTACTATGTGCATTTAGCTAGCAGCTTTAGGGGACACAGCACTGCATCCCATAGGTGACATTTAACTCTTCAGTGTCCAATGGGGAGGTCTGCTCGGCTCTAGGAAGTTCATCTGAGTGGGTTCGTTCTGTCAAGAAGAGGGAAATGGGAAAATCACCCTTTTATGGGCCTTGCACTGTTGCTGGTGCCTTGGATGCGCTGCATGGCTGAGGCCCTACTCATGGCATTACTACAGAGGGGCCTGGAAGCTGGGGACAGTGATATCTTCAGTTGAGAGACCCTTTCTTCATCCAGTTATGTGACACCAAACTTTCAGTATTGAGGCTGCAATTGAGCATGGAGTTCCCACTTAATTCAGTAATTTTTTGGAAGTCTGGGAAAAAATAGCACAACTATTTCTGAGCTGGAGGTCAAGACAAAATAGATTTTTTGACCACATTAAAAATATCTCAACTGCTTCATTAAGGAGCTCTAACATCTGCATAACTCAGGGCAAGGGAGATTTTACCAAGAGAGAGGTTTGGACCAGAACATACCTCTATCAGGACAAATGTGCCCCCTTATTGCCTTTTTCAGCCCATTCTGTTCTGGTTTGCACCTTTCAGTGGAATATCTCTGGAGTGCCAGGTGAGACATGTGATACCAATAAAGAAATAAAAGGTGGGTAGGAGGGAAGGGCCATTAACGAGGTAGATGTGCTGCAAGCAAATAAAAGCCCTGTAGGACAGAGAGCTGTGCTGGTCCCTGTGGCTTGATGTAGCAGCTGGGAGCAGTGATGAAGAGCAGCTGTAGAGCTGGGGTCTTATGAGAAAGCAGCACTAAACATGGAGCTCCTGGAAAGCTGGGCTCTGCTCAGCCTCAAGGCTGTGACAGCAGCTCTCCCAGTGCGCTGGTGCCATCAGGGCTGAGGGGCTCTGTTCCGGCTAGGTTAGGCTGAGATACTCCAAAGTGGGTGAGTAGGATGGTATCCCCTCCTCAAGCACCTCTGACTAGTGTTTGTCTCTCCTTTTATCTTCTAAGCGGCAGAAGTTGGGGCCTGTGAGTGCTCTACAGGTATGTGCCTTGAGCGGGGCAGCTGACTTGCTATATAAGGTTGAATAAAAGACAATACTGGCTAGTTCTGGTTACCTGTCCGCTGCTATCACGAAGCAGCAATAAAACACAATGTACCCTGCTGTGGAGTTGAGCTCCAGAGAGCAGGGTGGCGTTGGGAGCCAGCAATGCAGCACTGCTGCGGTCGCGATGGTGTCCGTGTCCTCCACGGATGGGATGCGGCCGGGATGCGAGCGCTCCGGGGAGTAGCGATGTGGGGACAGGAGCTGGGGGAAGAGTCTTCTCCAGGTACCTTAACTGAACCAGAAGAGAAGCAATCCATCAAGTGAAGCGTGCCTGCTTTCTGCCCTCTGTTTGAGCAAAGTGATGCTCTCATCAGCTTGGTCAGCAGATGAAAGATAAAGTCCTGGCACCCTCCCCAGAAATCCCTGCACTGGGACGAGCTGCATTCGGTCGCTTCAGTCTTGGGCTAAATGAGGACAGAAATTGAAGTCTTAAGTTACAGGCTAAATGTAATGTTTCTTTATGGTAGCGGAGGGAAATATTCTTTTGTGCAGGAGGAGGGGGAAAAAGGAAACTGGGCAGTTTCTCTAGGTGCTTGCAGTAGAAGACTTTGTGTGGCTATGGAGAACCTGCTCGTGCTTTACCTGATAGGGTAACTTGTATTTGTCCTGTGTGAGCAAAAATGTTATAAAGCAGGTGCTGATTGCTATTGCTGTGGGTGTCTTATGTGAAAGGGGCTAAAATCTCTCTGCTCAAAATGGAGCAGAGCTTAGGGATGAAGCCTGAGGTTCTGCCTCAGTCACCTCTACTTGTCCCTGTTCTAGTGGGAAGTGCTTGTGATGTGATCCAGGTGGATTCAGAGCCTCGGTGCTCACAGGTTTGTTCCGTAATGTGTTAACATGCCACAAAGGGAGGGCACTTGTGCTGCCCTGGAGCTTGCCCTGCATCCCGAGCCCTCGAGGGCTGGGCTGGTGTGTGCGGCGGAGCCTTCTCCTGGCTCCAGAGGTGGAGCTGGGCAGGACAGGGGCACCACGCTGCCCTTCTGGTTGTGCAGGTACTGGGGCTCCCCTGGATGCGCTTGACCGGGGTTTAGTCAAAAGGGGTTTGCATCTTGGTGTGATTCTTGGTGTGGGTTGGCACACTGAACTTCTGAGAGCAATAATGCGTAATCACGTTCCCAGTTAATTGATATCTTGATCACAATTGTTTCAAATGCAAAAGCAAAATGAAGAGCACACTAGTAGTGTGCTATTTAAAAATATACCTTCAAACACACTAAAGCTTTCTAAACTAGGGACATATTAGCTCTTGCTTGGGGTTTCATATCTTCAGTCCCAGGTTTTTAATCATCCTGAGTGCACGATGTGACATTGACTGTCAGTGTCTGTTCTCTTATATTCATTGATCATTGAATGTTGCAGGCTTAGCTACTGCAGTGAGGTTATTTATTCTGTCCAGGAGGCTTTGGAAAATGTTTAGTCACGAGCAAAGGCGCTATCTACAAAGCACTCGGGTGTGATATAAATCGTGTTGCGGGTGGTGGTGTCTGATGGCGCGATACTGCAGGGAGCCCTGCTCTGCCCGGGCTGCTGCATGCAGCAAGCTGAGCTGCATGGATACAGCTGAGGAAAGTCAATAGTCTCCCGAGCATGTGACAACTGAATGGGAAAGCAAAGTCTGCAAGATACCCCTCTGCCCTTGACTTAATGCCATGTTAAGATTAAATGAAGATTGATAAAGATTTTAAAGTCCTCCTTGATCGCGGAGCCTTTTTTCCTCCTACAGCAAAGTGAGATGTGCCAAAATGCACAGCCACATTAATAGTAATGATCTCTATTGCAGCAGCAAATTGGTGCAGAGTTTGGGAGGACGCGTGTTGCTCAGCGCAGTCCTTGGCATGTTGCACGGGGGCTGAGCATGGGAGCTCTTCTCACCAGTGCTGCCCTTGCTCTTCTCATCCGCTGCAGATTAACCATGCTTTTCTGCTTTGGGCGGTGAGTGGTCTTCAAATGTTGGGAAATATGCAAGTAACTCAGTGGTTCCAGAGCCTTGGGAAAGCTTAGTAAAGGGTCAGTAAAATATTAGACACCTGGGGTGTCTCCTTGCCTTGCTGCTGGTCTCTGGCTCCTTTCAGATGCGAGTGAAGCCTGCAGAGGAAAGGGGGCTTTTCCACAGCCGGAATGTCCTGCCTGCTAATACTTGCTTGGAAGCCCTGCAGCAGCAGCACAGAGCTGGTAGCAAGGCATGAATAATTCCCAATGGAAACTGAGTGGTGGGTGCTGTGGTCCGTGCAGGGGACTGGAGCGTGTTCCTTCTGCAATGGATAAACCGAGCAGGATGGGAGCCTGTCCCCTGCCTCCTAGGCTGGATGCCTGTTGAGTGGGTGGCAATAAGTCCTTGTGGGCTGGGTCTGTGTATAGTTTCTCTCCCCAACAAGGAACAGGGGGCCTGAGCGTTTGGGTTATGCAGGTGTACGTGGCCAAGAAAAGCTAATAACCAAATGGGAGAGCAGGCAAGATGCGAAGGGAAGGATCAGCATTCCCAGCAGTGCCAGCACTCTTTTGGGGATGTGGGTAATCAGCATATCTGAAAGCTTAACCTAAGAGCTTTCAAGGGTAACAAACAGCAGTAATAAATGTGGATTGACCCTGATGTACGCTTGGCATCTGGTGATGTTGCATTGAAGGATGTGGATAAAAAAAAATTAACATGTTTCAAAACTCTGGCTTTGTAGCTGGTGGCTCCTGAGCCTGGGTGCTGAGCTTGCCCACATAGGCAGTGCTGCCCGCCTTGGTAGGCGTTTGCACTAGCCCCCAGCCATATCCCACAGTAACCTTGAGCTTAAACGTGTTCCCCTTCCTCCGTCTCACTTAGCGTGGGGATGCAAGAGCAATGCCTGTGTCCTATTGAATCGCTCCTATGGAAGCAGCGGGCTGGAGTCGCCCTGAAATACAGGGGTCTGCACAGCTTCATTAGCTGTAGCCTTCTAATGGCTTAATCAATTGAGTAGTTTTTGCCTCAGATATCCTGTCAAACAGTGGGAAGCAAGGATAAAGCTCAGCTTTACTGGTCTGGAGCTTCTGTAAAGCAGTATAGCTTGGCTGGAGCTGGCGCTGAGTCTTTGATCAGGTGTGTGTATTGGGGAGAAAAGTAGACCTGTTGGTTGCTTGTGCAATGTGTGTTCATTTCTTTGGGAGAGTCCTAACGTTTGTACCTGCAGTTGTACCTAAATTCTTCCTCTGGCTGAGTTTGGTGTCACCTAAATGGTGGAGATTCTTGCTGTGCATCTCCTGTCCTTCCTGACCAGAGCGAGCTCCGTCCACCCTTGCTTGCCTGGGCAGGCAGGGCTCATGATAAGCTCCAGCCTGTGTGCATCCCCCAGATCTAGGGCAGCTCTGGCGAGATCAGTATCTTTGAGAGCCTTATGCACACGGCTGATTTGCTTTGATTCTTTTTTTTTTTCCTTTCTCAAGAGCAGCACCAGCAGGTGAGGAAAGCCCAGCGAGCAGCCCAAGGGCTCAGCCCCTACCCTGCCAGCGAACGAGGCTGTTCGAGCGCTGCCTTTCCAGGCGCTCCGATAGGATCAGGGTTCTTGCAGTGTCAGGGATTTAAGACTTTTTAGCTCCCTCCTCCCCCCCTTCTCTTCTTGCTCGCCTGCACAGCTCCGGGCTCCCCCGGCAGCGCTGGAGTGCGAGGACCCGTCTGACACTACTTATGCCAGCGCCTGCCTCCCGCGCACGAGAAGCAGCCGGCAACTTTTGCAGCTCCGGATCCCGCTTCATCCCTGCGCACGCGGAGCTCTGCGGAGCCCGGCGGGGTAAGGGGGCGCTTGGGCAGCAGGGGGGGATCCCTAGCCCCCTTTAATGGGGGCTCTCCTGCCTCCGCACGCTTGCGGGAGGGGGGTTTTAGGGAGGCTGTGATCGTCCCCCTTGAATGAATAGGGGGTGCCTATAAGATTAAAAAGTCCCACTTCTGCTCTTGTGGTGGGTGCTTGCTGATTGAACTTCACCCAGTTCATTTTCTTTTTTTTGTCTTTTGCATCCTTCCTGGGACCAATATGTGGGAGGCTGAGTCAGAACTGCCTGATTTTTAACTGTTTTTTTTTCAAACTAAAAATCTGAAATTGCTTGCTGCCAGGAGCTCAGATTTTTTTATATCATCTCTGCTGATAGTTTTTCTTTTTTTATTCTTTTTTTTCCTTTCTTCATTTCCCGAGCAGGTGGAGGGTTTTTAATGCCTCTGGGCTGGTGCAGTTGTGCTGCAGTCGGAGCCCCGTGCTAGCTGCAGAGCCTTTGCAGGAGCGCGTCGGGATGCGCTGCCCTGCTGCAGAGCTGCAGGAAAGGAAACGTCCCGCGCCCCCCACTCCCCCCCATCGACACCACTCGGGCTGTCTCCCCGCTCTCGCTGCCTGTCACCCCTTAAAGAAAAGGGGGGTGTAGCAGGATGCAGGAGGATGGAGGCGGAATTGGGCACTGCAGCTTTAAGAGTGCAGCAGTGCCAGAGCTTTTCTCCTTCAAGTGATCTGCAAAGCAGCAGCAGCAGCACCAGGGATTCCCTCTCCTCGCCGCTCCCGAGCTGCCCGGAGCTGGGATCGGGGCTTTGGCAGCCTCGGCTGCCTCGGCTTTTTCTTGCTTAATGCTTAAAATTGCATGGGAAAGCATCTTGTGGATGGTGCATGCGTCTTGTGCTGCAGCCTCGGCACCCTTTTCCCAAAGGAGCGTGTCCTTGTGTGCTCAGAGCTGCTGAATTGAGCTTAAAAGAAGTTTTTTCCATAAATCCCAGAAAAGCGGTCTCATGACCTCCAAGTGTAGGTGCCTGCCTGCAGCCTCCGAAAGTTGAATTAATCTTGAGCAAATGTTATTGCAGCCTTTTCCGCAGCAGCATGGCTTGTATTTG